GTACGCTGTTTAATTGCATACACTAAACGTGCCAGTTAAGCAATGGCCTTAAAAGAGATAGAAAAAGAAGATGGAAAAATTATATTTTTAATTTTTCTCTTTTTTTTATCATGTTGTTCAGAAAATGTTGTTTCCAGTAAATGCATCCAAATGCAATTTTAATTGTTTCAATTACAATGATAACAAAGGACTGTGTATTCGATTTAGTGTAGATATGAATTATGTTATGAATTATTCATATTAACATGTTACTTAATTCTCTACTAAACAATTCTTCCTGGCAACAGATGTTTTTCTAAACGTATTAACGAGCATAGATTAGCGCACAAGAAAATATTATTTTTATTATTATTATTATTAAAAATAATTTAACCAAAGAAATAAATTCTAAAACTCAAGTTTCGAAGCGTTAAGGCCATCCCAGTTGGGATTTGAACCAACGACCATTTAAAGTAAATATTAGACTTTTAGTGACGTCTAATTTTATACGCATTACCCATCTTTTATAAGCTTTTATAGACTTTTTTTGCTGTCAGTACGGACACTTCATGTCGAGGTTTCGAGTGCAGTCAGTACAGCCGATCGCTTTTGTGTGGTGGGGAAGGGTGGGTGGGTTACGCGGCTTATTTTTGGTTGTGCCATTTGTTTGATGAAATCTCTTTTTATGCGATATACGAATGCGAGTGAAATAATCTGAACATATTTCACTATCAATGGAAAGTGGTCTTGTCTATGTGCTTAAGAACGAAACCGCAAATGAGTTTATTTGCGTTTAAAACCGGCCTTTTCAACCGGCCTTTCACACTCAGTGTTTACAGCACAGGGTATCCGTTAGTTCGATATGTAAGGCGTTTTCTCCTTTTTCTCTAGAGTGATTAGTGGTTTCGATAAGAACAGTGGCATTTCAAGAAACTAATAAGATGAAGTCTCAAAAATTTTACGAGGTATTCCTCGTATTACCTTTAAAATTGATTGTGATTATAATGACGGTTACAGTTCGTCACCAATTATTAGTAGTGTAGTATACATGTGCATGCAAATTTTGATGACATCAACAATTTTGGTTTCAACGAAGTAATTATATTGATATTGGTATTGAGGAAATGACTTAACGATATGTTTAGGATAAGCGATAAGCAAAATGGTGCGATTTAAGGACATTGAAATAATTCCCTTGGAGATAGAAAGCTTTGGAATTTAAAATAAGTTTGTGGCGCGCTATTGATAAAATGCGTATCCCATTACATGACAAAGCGACTACAAATTAGACTGAACGAACCAGCTGACTAAACTTTGGAAATTTAAAAAAAAAAAAGCGCATAAAGCTGTCTTGTGAATGGGAACGTAACTGACAATCCGCTGATTGGCAATGAAATTTTTTCAATGGAGGGTCCTTGCATTCCAAAAAAAAGTCGTCCTACCGCATAATGTACTACTTGTGTACGTCACATATCGGTCAGAAGACGTTTGTTCTTCTGGAGCAAACTTTGAGGTAGCAATCGTTTGAGTGATGTAAACAACAAAATTATATTTGATTTAAACGAAATCTTTCAATACCTGTCGTACATTTGGTAAAGTGGAGGGACGAAGTTGTCAACAAAGAGTGTAAATGCATAATTTTGATAAGTGCTCGCGCCAAAAAGTATGTTACCTCCATAATACGTAAGCTTTTACTGTAGCTACTTTCAAAGTATGAGAAAACATAGACAAAGTAAAATATTGAATAAATGATAGACATTCATGGAGTAGTGAGCTTGCAGTTGCCGACAGAGTATGCGTTTTCCTTACTGATGAGTGAAAAATCTTTTGATTGTGAAATTGCCATGAAGTAAAGTATTCAAATTACGATCAAGTTCGCTTGATATCGAGAGACATAAATCGGTTTTTTCGTTTCTGGGGTTTTGAAATCGGAATCTTAAGTTAAGTTAAAACGCTAAATCAAATGAATGGAGAAAGTTAGGTGAATTTTGCTTAACAAAATATCTAGTTCACCGCGCCACAACCAGATATTTGCGTTTCCTATATGCCTAGTTTAACCTTCGTTGGAATACCTACTGAAATGGACATATAGAAGGTGGTGAATAAATTCCGTTGTACTTAAGTCGAATGTAATGTGTCTCCACCTAAGAAGTAAGTTTGTTGTATATAAACAAATGAAAACACTACAGTGGGACACGGTCCATCCATTAAATATCCTACATCAGCCTAGAGTTACTCATACAACAATTCCTCAAAATAAGCCATTTTATATGAAATAGTCGAAAAAGTTGCCTGATCCGAAACATTCTTCGCGTCTATACTTAGCCCGTCCGGTTGTTGCAAACATCCGCGCAAACTTAATATACTCTTGCACCACAAGCGGTGTAGGTTGTCGAAACATTTAATAGAATCTCTTTAAAAAATGCAGACAAATCTTTTTATATGAAATGTTTTTTCTTTTCACTCTAAATTGGTTTATAATTTAGCTTATGTTCAATTATTCCAGAAAAAAATTATATATTTCCTGAACATATTAAAAACTTCACCAGACATAGCAATCATTTACTGTAAAGGGAGATTTCATATATATTTTTTCATTTTTTTTTTTTAGTACACTAAGATTTTCAAGGTCAATGGCTTTAAAAATTTGTTAGATTACATTTTCCCCCATAAGTTTCTAAAACTCGTTCTGGAACTCTGGAAAAGCATATCACATTCATACACTATTTCCGATTAATTTTTATGCGCATATATAGTCAAATATATGTGTTTTTGTAATCTACATACACAATCTATAAAAAAAAAAAAAAACTTTTTACGAGCACAGGAAATTTCTTCATATGTCCTGAATGTTTATTCCTCTAAAGGGAAGAATGCAGTTAGCAATGCACAGTGTTATGGGCAAAAGTGAGCATAAGAGATGAGAAGCGCAGTATCTGAGAGCAAAATAGGTGGAAAACAATTTTACAGACGATTGCCTTCGACATTAGTTATTTAAATACGCTCACACTTATGTATATTATACTCAACTTCAATTCTACGGATGGATGTGCTTGTTCAATAAGCTTACAGTCAGCTAAAGAGAATGAAAAATTTTATAACAAAATTAATATTTCACTTAATGCAAATTCTGTTGATGGTGATGTGTTAAGTTTTTAAAAAAAAACACAAAATAAGTTAAAGTAGACCGTTAAAATGTTTTATTTTCTAAAGATGTAAAAATTGTTTTTTTTTTTCTTTTGATAAAAAAACCAAAATGCAATTTGATTTAATTGAAATCTTTCTACGTGGCGTCGATAGATTTATTAAAATTTTTTCTCTATCTTTTTTTCTATCCTAAACGCAATTAAAAACATGAGTGTAGTTAACGCTTCGCTGCGGTAAATGGCTTTATACAAATCATTCTCAGTTTATTTAATCCTTTTTGCGGATTGTTAAAATTGCGGAAAGGAAGAAAAGAGATGGAGAATGAATCTGGTTTGTCCGCGTAAAGCAAATTTCCTATGAAGTCATTTACGTTTTTATCTACATTTAGAAGATAAATCGAGTCGTCCAGGAAGAGAATAAATCTAAGTGATTGCCTTTCGCTTGCGAAATCTTAATCGATATATTTTACTTTTTCAGTACGCTAGCTCCGATTAAGCTCCGATGGTTAACACGATACTTAGTAACGAAAGGGCTGTGATCGCGTTTTTAACAAATCTTGTGCAGAATATTTCAGAAGAGAGAGAAGTTTTTGCCAATACCGCGCCTCGCTGCATTAAACATGGAATTTATTTAGAAGAAAGTCATTATAAAGTTTTCGGTCCTATTCATACATAACTTTTACGCGAGTCCAACTGATTCAAAATCTACCTCACAAGACCTACAATTAGCAAAACAGGTCACAGCTCCTGAGACATCTTTTTCAGCTAAACCCGCAAAACTCCCACTCCTACTCCGGTTGCTTATAGAAACACATAAATACTACTCCGTCTTTTTCTCCCGCTCTGTTAACTATGTATATATAAAAACGCAATTTATTCATAGACGGTCCTAACATCGCGTGTGGAGACCATATATATTTGACGTTGTGTTTTTTGTGTTCTTTGCCCGAAAACTGCAAACGCACGTCTTTTTTGGTATCGTATCTTGGCTGTTAGCATTCCCTGCAAATTTGCCCATTTACTTGACTGAGCTTACTTGGTTTTGTGTATGACCCTGCAAGAATGTCGAATGAAATCGGATAAATGCTTTACTGCGAGATAGAGCAAAATTCCATTCACTCGATAAACCCATTGCATATCATCTTTGTTTCAAATGTTTTTTGCGTAACTTGGTGGTAGCAATTTTTATGTTACTTGACTAAGCAAAGCCATATTACGCATTTTTCTTAATTGTGAGAAAATTTTGAAATCCGTGTCGCAAAGCTAGAGGCTTGCTTCTAAAAGATTTGAACTTTGTATTTTATCTTTCTGCGCCCACCGCAATAGCGATGGTATATCCGTTTTATCAAAATGTTTGCAAGACAGCAGAAGATGCGACAATGTGTACATACTCTTCACTAATATCAAAATCAGAATCATCGCTAGTATAAAAATTTCGATTTAAGCATCTTTGCATGTCCATGTCTCTCTCCACTTGACAAACATTCTCTTACTTCCGCATTAGGGAGTATCGAATTTTAATCCTTTCCATTTGTTTGTACATTTTTGTAGGTTATTTGTTAGGTGGCGGATGAATGCAAAAGATTCGGCCACAGTTGACTATTTCAATTGTTGAACTCACAGCATTGTCGTCAGGTTAGCGCTTTTTTGCATAAATAGCTTAGAGACGGAAACTGAACAGTTTTTTAAATAAAATTTAAAATAATTAATGTTTTGAAATAAAACTCTAATCTCGAAATCCTTTATATCCACGCAATTTATTACCACTACCATTAGACAAGTAGTTTGTTTTGAAAAGTTTTGTAAAACCTTGATTTAAATTATATTTCCTCATAAATAAAGCATAAGAATGTCTGAGAATATATTTGTTTTGTGAGGTTGTAAAATATTTTATTATACTCATGTATATATATGTATTTAAATTTACTACGTTGCATGCAATGATTATTTTATCCACATGTTAGCAAAACCAAAAGAAGAAATTTGGTTATTAAATTTATCATGCTGAGAAGAAAATTATATGTCAGAAGGTTGGTCATTAAGTTCGTCATCATATTTTTATTTCGGAGTATAATAAACGCTACTGCGCTCGTGCTTTGGCTTTTGACAAATGAATGATGCCGTTTGAGCAGTCTGTATGACCCGAAAGCCCTTAAGTCATTTCAATCAAATTTATCATCAATTTACTGCTCTTTATACTCACTCACAAATCTCGACCTCAGGAATACCTCTGATGATGAATGCTAGTCGATATTTTCAAATGGAAAACAACGTTTCCATAAACAATTAGGTTTAGGATAGAAGGCATTTGTGTAGGTAAAGAGAAAGTCAAAACAATAATGCACACGAACACGCACGCGTTGCCCATTATTCACGTCGCACACTTGAAGTGCATCGTTAGCATTATACAGTGATAACAAAATTAAAGTTCATATAAAAAATCAATGAAATTATATTAGCAAACGTGTTGCTTTTAATTTTTTTATAGAAATTTAAAAAAAGAAAATAAATTGAACGCTAAGTATGAAGACAATATATATATTTGCATATATGTGCCTCTTAGTTTTATGCATGCAAACATATTTCCTAGGTGGAGAGGGGACGGGCAGTTAGCCGAGGTAAATGCCCTAATCCGGCTATGGCGATTATTAATTTACATATGGCGTAATCGTTTTCTATCACAGCACAAGGTTAACATTCATTTTTCTTTTTGCCTATGTTCTAAACTAATTGTAACATGTATTTTTCGCTTGGCTTAGTGCCTTAAAAATCTTGCCAATCTTCCCAAAGCGAAAGGTTGCTTGTCGTTAGTTTCAACATAAAATATGCCAGATTTTTGGATTGAAGGATCACCGCCCATCGGATATTCGCCGTATCTCATGTTTTTATCACATTCCCAGTTGTAATGCATGCTTCTGTTACATCTGATGCCCCAGAATCCCGCACTCGAAATAATGGATTCCGCAAAAAATTTATAGGATCGCGTGTGAGAACATGCCGGTTGCAAACAATTTTTTTGACTAAGACCAAAATTTGGATAGAAAGTCGCGTTGCCGGTGGGATCGACAAATCCTAAGCGGCTTGTCTGTATCGTTTCTACATAATTGGCGTCGGTGGGATCGATACGAAAGTTTATTGTGCGCCTGCGAAATTTGGGGCCGGCTGGATCTAAAGCAAATATCGTATTGTACCGATGTGGTTGTAGACGCTTGCCTGCAGCTCCTGCAATTTGTGCACCCAATGAATGCCCAATTAAATAGATGTCGTCGTAATCTATGCCAACTTTTTCATGCAATTTTCGCGTAAACTCGGCCACTTTAGTGCCAAACGTCTCAATTAAGTGAACCACATGAAAATAATTAATATTTGCCGCATGATTACTCCAGTCGCATATGATAATGTTGTAATCGCCGTGTGATAGATAAGCATTTTTAACGTCACGATTGAAAGAACCACGCGACTGGCTCATCCAGCCATGTATAAGAATTCTGAAAGAGGAAAGAGGAAAATATATTTATGACAATACTATGTGAGGAACTAAAATTCTCTAGCATGTTGTGAAAAGTTATGAGAATCTCACCGGCAATCCCACACAGAATTGCTTTTTAGTTACCTTGATTTCGAAAAAAAAAGATGCATCCGTTTTTATTAATAACCGATTCCTTCTAGGGTAGGAGAAGATACTTTTAATGATATAATCAAGTTGTGCTTCTTGCCACAACTACGGGTGTTGCATTGAGTTATCGTTATGATTTTCCCAAAGAATTTTTCATTTTGCACTCTGAACAACATCATAGAGACGTGATAAGTCACAGGCGTTATTCTTTCGAGTAGTTTTCGTTTTCACATCAATTTGAAAAGAATATCCCGTTGTGGCACGATTTCTCAACGTTTTCTATTGGAGTCAGCTATACGAATAAATCTATCAAGTCATTACCATTCCCAATTTGCGGCACGTTACCTGAACATTTGGAGCAGTTCAACGGCGAGCCGTGGGCTGCTGTCTTTGTTTGTTCGTGCTAAAGCAAAACTTAGAAACGACACCGATTCTAGCGTTTTTTCCACAAAACATTTCTTTCATTTACAACATATCACAACAAACTGCAGAGCACAAAGTGTTAATTGGATAGGAAACACGCGTACTTTGGTTTTCTTAGTTTACGATTGATACACATTTTTTTTTTTTGTTTACCTGGTAGGAATTGAATTATCCAAGTCTCTTGTGTAGAATGAATCATCTGTATGACCTATTTCCCGGCCGCAATCGCGAAAATCTTGTTTAAACAAGTAGAACTTCATGGTTAGTTCAGGTTTAGAAAATGGATTTAAATTTTTTAAAATTTTTTTAATGAACGGTACATCCACATATCTTCTAAAGCCTTTCGGCTGTCTAAGATCATTATCGCATTTTAGCCATTCACACCACTCATCATCATCATCTTCGTCTTTTAAAAAATTATTTATTGCTTCAATATCAACCTCATCGTCTTGATCGTAATCGGAATCACGATCAACTAATTCTGATAAGTTGTATTCATCATTCTTAGAAGGAAGAGCGTTAAGACCTATAAAATGAAATGCATATTAACTGAAGTTAAAACTGGTTTTTGTATAAATCAAGTTTTACTCACAACATTTGTTCAAGAAGAGTAATAAAGCGATTTGCAAGCCGTTTGAAAATCTCATTATACAGTATTATTATTGTTTAATGCAATTTTTTTTTTACTATTTGTTTTTTATTCTCGCCGAAACCGCAGATCACTGACAGGGTGTTTTGACTTGTGCACTTGACTAGAGGCTGGCTACTGAACCTCTGCGTTTTTACATTCGCTTATTGATTGCATTGCTTTTAAATAAACCTCGCTTTTACATACTTCAGAGCATTTGATTACGGTAGTTTTTAATAAGGAAATGCATGGTGTAAAAAAAAAACTCGTCAGCTGAATATTGTGGGAATTCCTGTTGAGCTTTGATTAATTGTTGTTCTTATTTTCCCACTTTATCAAAACAAATTAAAAACGCAATGTAGTAACGGAAAATGCTTAGCGATCAGGGCCTTAGTCTTAAAATAAAAGCAAAAAAAAAAAAAAAAAAATATGACAAAAAGTTTTGTTGGTTGTTGGACGAATCCTCGAATCATGTCATATAACTCAAAAGGCATCGCTTAAGGCTACCTGTCAACTTTGGCATAATGTTGTTTTAAACTTTTACTTCTGATAAATATTTTTGTTCAATTTAGTTTTATTAGTTGCCCAGTAGGCAGACGAAATATGGAAAGAAACAAGGGAAATAAAAGGAGATCATATTCATCTGTAAGTGCCCTTCTAGCTATTTATCTTTTTCTACGATGGGGGAATTCTTAGAAATTTCCCAAAAATTGGGTTAGCTCTGGCACGTTTATGTATATTTAATTTAAATTTAATTCTATTTAGAGGTATGGGTAGCCTACAGAATTCCAGACAATTTTTAGAAATACGCAACAGTAAACAAACTTACAGCTTCATGACCTAGTAGAAGGGAAAAGTTCAATGCATGATAACGCGCGGTAACGTAAACTGATAATCAATTGATAGTAAATAAATTTAAAAAACGAATAATTGATTGATTTAATGGAAATATTGATATTGTGAAGTTTTAAATGGTATAGATTTCGCAGCACACTACACGTTCACTTTATATTAAATGAACAGTTTACGTTATGTTTTTCTAGTCGTCGTTCTTAAGATCACTACAATATTTTTCAAAATTTATTGAAACATTGATTTAGTGATGCAATAAAGAAATAATGAGGAATTATTTGGTTGTACTTCTGTGGACAAGGTGCTACAAAATAAATACATTTTTGCTTTATTTGTTTGTTTTCATGTACTGTTTATTACAAACTGTAGTGGCGTCAGGGTCCACTAAGTTCGCGTGAATGTAAGCAACCCTACGCACACTTTGAAACGGATTCGTCTTTGATTATATTAATAAATTAATTCAGAATCATTTTCTGCATTAATATATACATTTCCCTGCATCTGCCTGATAAAGTGCTGGCCGATTATCTGTCTGCTTGTCCGTCTTCTTGATGTCTTTCCTTCAATTTTTGTATTCACCACACACAGGATAATTTTCCCGATATTTCGATCGATTACGATATGCTGACGAATAAAAGCATGATGCCTGGATTCGAACATAACGTGTAATAACCTATTTTGAAAAAGTCATTATATAAATAGATTTTCAGTCAGTTTTAATATCCATTAATAAAATTTTGCGAAAAAAGCGTTATTTTGGCAACGTAAATAAACGTGAAAACTTTGCCGGACATAAGAACACTTTTCGAATTTTTTCCCCTATTAATGTTTTTACAATTTCTAGTATTCTAAGATGAAAACTTGTCTAGAATATTGGTGGACTATAGAAATTTTTTAGGCTAATTATGGACTAGACGACCTATTTTTCAGACTTCTTTCTATATAAGGTTTCTTGTGAAAGCTGCGCCTTTGTATCGCAACATGAGCTAATTCTTAGTGTCTCACGAAGAACTACATAAGGTATTAGAGCGAAATGGTGAAGGGTTTTTTATTGTTGCGTCTTTGCTTTGCCTTTGGGACTCGTAAATCCATTAACACCTTCCCGTGCATAATGGCTGCGTAGCTAATTTAATTTACACACTTAGATGTATATGTGCTGAGTAATTATGTGCACTAGTAAATAATTTCTATAAAATGCACTAAGCAATATACAAAACGTGTAATGATCCAATCATTTGAAAAAAAAATCATTTGTCAAACATTATTCGTAAAATCAATTCAATTTAATAAAAAGATTTCTTGTGTACAGCGCTGCGTTGCGTGCGTACTGAATTCGATAAACGCAATTTGTGGCGAACTGTTGTTGTCTATGATTTTCTCTTTCCGTAGTCATAAAACAGAAATAGACAAAATTTGAGCAAGCATACAATGTTAGGAGGAAAGAACCGTCAGCATCTTTCGTAACAGTAACGCTATACATTTAAATCGTCTTATATATGCACGTTTTTTTTTACAATTTATTTATTTTTTCCATTTGTTGAGAGGATTTATCAGCTAGACAGTTAAAATTGGATTAAATCTGTTTGACAACCAAACGCCTATAAACCGTAAGCGGAAGGAAGGCGGCGATTGAACACTTGCATAAATGGTAACAAAAACAAACATCTTAATATTTGAAGTGCAAAATTTTCGAGTATATAAATACAATACAAAGTGAATCCTAATCGGACCAGTGATACGCCTGCAGTTATCAGTAAGCAAATTATATCATATCAACGTATAAGGAAATGGATGCATTAGATCTATTTCAAAAACTTTTGCAATGCTGTTAGCTTTCTGAGGGAAGAGTTTTTACTACCATTACGTTTGGGACACTGAGGATTACCTAGCATACACCGTATAGAGGATGCATGGTCTTAAGATGCACAGCGACTGGTTGAAACGTAGGCTCATCACACATAACACAACACTCAATAAATACAAGTAAACAATGACTATTGGCCATGGAATTTTTAGATAGCATCAACCTTAAAAAGAAATGTTTTAAAATTTCATGACGTTCCGACCATTAGTTACAAAAGCATTAGTAACAAGTTACAAAAGATTGATACTTTCGAAAATTCATATGGATTCGTGAATAGTGGCGACATCTATATATCATTTTACCATCTTATTGAGAGGCGTGTTATGTATATATATCTTATCCGAGACTAGTTTTCAACATCGCTTTCAATCGTTCACAACGTCAGAGACGTATCGAAAGTACCGAAGTGTCGTCGAACTTCCTGCGGGTTATTTCGCCAGCTATTTGTCGATTGGTAATGCTTGTTAGCTATGCCTGTTGATAGATAGATAAAGAGTCTGGCACTTTGAAAAAAACTTACGATGACTCCGTCAATCAAACTTTTTGAAACTGAAAATGCGTTTTCAGTTGTCTTCATGACTTGCCACAATATTACTTGTTTACGAAGCCGCTGAACCAAATACGGAACTCTTCGATAAATGTACTTTTGCTTACTAAAATATAATTTAAAAGGCAAAATTACGTAATGGGATGACATTAAGCGGATTCCGATTTTAAATCTATTTGTTTATTGTTTGATATGATTATTGGCAGACAGAAACTAAAAGTGGCACACATGACAATTCTTCATGTAGTTGCCGACGATGTATTATAAATAATAAAAATGGAAAAAAAGCTTCCTCCTTGTAGATTTCGTTTCTGTAAAAGGGGGAGAAAAACACTAAAACTGAAATAAAATAAAATTCTTTATATTAAATGATTTCGCTGTAAATTTATGATATGTCGTAACATTGTCGCCTTGCTTTGGGATTATGTTCTATTGAAAGAGAAATGAATGTAGGCGACTTTCTATCTCGATTATATCACTTCGTCCCTTATTGCAGACGTCATTTACTCCGCTTACAGTGAATTAAAAGCTTTATCAGGCATGCGGCCATTAGCTGATAAGCAGAATCGCATGTAAGCTTAGGGGAACCGAGGACAGTACTTTTTCGTTTATAAGACTATACGGTTACAATCGTTGCTAATGTAAACACAGTGAACAAGTTGTGATTTACAACTGAAGACGTGAAAATTTGCTGCTGTTATACTACCGCTCAGATGTAAATTCAATTCGCCGTTGAATTGCTTACGGCGACACAAATGCTTTATAGTTGTACGGACAGTATGTAACGATGTATCCTGAAAAGAATTTCTTATTATATCTTAAACTAGTTGCGGTAAACTTCTGTATTTAATTTGTGCGGATGCATGCATCACTAAGACGGACTTGAGATAGACCGATTGATTGAGAATTACTTTTTGAATCGATCTAACGTTGTCTGTTCGTCATGTGTTCTTTCGTTCGAGTGACTCTCTTAAGGGAGTCTATGTAGGATATTTGCCGATGGGTTCTGTGCCGCTGTAGTGTTTTTTTTTTTGTTTGTTTTCAATATATATTTTTCAGAAAACAATACCTTGCTTTAACCAGCTTTTCATTTATGTAATATTCGGGTTTCACAACGTGTTAGAGTTTACTACGCCAACATTAAGAATAGTTCTAGTCTTGTCTAGCAAATCTAAATTTCTATGATTCGTAAATCGGTAGATTAGGGTCTTACTAATATCTTTTGCCATCCTTTAAGATATACGAAGAACATGAGATGCGCTTCTATTTCTATATCTACAATATATTTCCGTAAATAAATAAGCGATATTGTTTTTGTATTCATCACCGCAGAATGGGTAAATATTCATCTTGTCAAAACACTGCCTTTACTGAAGGAAGCTTTAGCGACGCCACAAAGTGTTCTTCATCCGCATGAAGTTTTGAATGGACTTAAGCATGTTCATCTGTACGTCCTGGTAAACATCTTCTTAACATTGTAAATGGTTCAAATCAGTCAAAGCACATACACACAGTAGAACATAAACTACAGTTTTCAATAACAAAGAAGACGCAGTTTTTTCATAAAATTATCATCATATAAACCCTAGCAATAAAAATTGATATATTCTCTTTCAACATAAAGACCGCGGATACAAAACTACCGACCATACTTTGATTTCGTAATGGCTTTTTATGCATTTTTGTAAACACGCTTCTCCCGTTTATTTATTGTTTATATTTTCTATGTTTAATCAACTTTTTAAATGTTCAATTTACTTCTCTTGCTTAAGAGATCAATTGCGATGTCGTGGCCCCTTAGTTGTTGTGTAAATTTTTGGAACCTTTCGTGTGCATCTTAGGGTAATACAGGAAATTTTAAATTCCGTGGCCGAGTACGCGAAGGTGCGTTTCTTCGCCAGGGTTTTTATCCTAAACGCTGTTGATAGCGGTTTGCCAAGAGTCATCGTGTATAACAAGGTCGCAAGTAAGAAGTTTCATCAAAATTAGATTTTAGCCATTAATTTTTATTTACGGCCATTACACGCTTACTAATAGACTAACGCTGAAAATTTAAGTTGCAATTTGAGTACAACTGTCCCATGGCAACAAAGAAGCAATGATAGAAGAGAGAAATGTAAAAGGTGATCTTTGACTCGTAATTTCATAACACGAGAGGATTAGTACTTACCCATGCATAATTAAGAATAGCTTAGGATAGTTCTCTAGTGGAAGCAGAGCATTTTTATTTTTTTTATTTCATGCAGATATAATTGAGATATAATTTCTAAAAATTTTTATATCTTTCCTTTAAACGATTGCGTACGGTTTGCCTGCGTTGGTTTCAACATAAAATATACCACTCTTCCTAATCGAAGGGTCACCGCCCATTGGAAATGCGCCGTATAAGAGATTTTCATCACACTCCCAGTTATTAAGTGTGCTTCTATTACATCTAATGCCCAAAAACCCCACACGTGAAGTAATCGATTCAGCAAATAACTTATAGGAACGGATATGACAAACGCTCTTTGACCGTAAGTTTCCCTTTTTAAACGAATAGTTTGGATAGAAAGTGGAATTAACGTTGGAATACACAAATCCAAAACGACTCGTTTGTATAACTTCCACGTAACGAGCGGCATCTGAATTGATACGATGTATATCTTTAGGAATGTTAGGTCCGGCTGGATCTAAAGCAAATATTGTATTATACCGATGTGGCTTTAGGAGTTCCGCAGCTGCACCCGCAATTTGGGCACCCAATGAATGTCCAATTACATAGATGTCGTCGTAATTTATGCCAGCTTTCTCATGCAATTTCCGAGTAAAGTTGGCTACTTTAGAGCCAACAGTTTCAATTAAATGAATGATGTAATTATTACTAATATCGGCTGAGTGATTACTCCAATCACATATGATGATATTATATTTGCCATTAAATAAATATGCATTCTTAATGTCGCGATTAAAAGAGCCGAGCAACGGGCTCAACCAGCCGTGTATGAGAATTCTAAGAAATAGAAGAACGATTGAATAGTCGATCAATTTGCACAGTAAGATACAATTAATTTCATGTCTTCATATAATGTAAGACATTTTATGAAGATCCATAGGTAGATAACGATTGTCAATTAGATACACAAACGTTTTCAGATTGTTTAGTTTTAGTAGAAAAAGGTACACCTGTTTTTTCTGATCGCTATGGCACACACTTACCTAGTGGGGATCGATTCGTTTAAATTTCGATTATAGAAAGAGCAATCTGTGTGACCTATTTGCTGGCCACAATCACGAAAACCATGTTTGAATAAGTAAAACTTCACGCTATCATACTCGGATCCTGAATGTGGGTTGAGATTATGTGATATTAACCAACTATCAGCACATCCACAATCGGCAATACTCTTATGGCATTCATGCAGTTGACTCGTTTTGAAGTCGATGGCGTCTTCATCATTCAAATAATTTTTGAGATTTGGAACATCAATTTTATTGAAACCATTGCAATTCCCACCTTCGGCCGTATTGCATAAACTGTTTTCAGGTGTACTCTCGGAAGGAAGGGCGTTAAGATCTGCAAAAGGAAAAGATTACTAAACGCTTGAAGCGACTTTCAGTTGAAATGAATCTGTCTACAGGCGCTATGGAAGAAAATTGTCAAGCAGAGTTGGACCCGAACGTAAAATTCCATTGTATCGCTTCTATTTTACATTTATTTTTGAAGTTTTCTGTTTCTTATTTGTATACTGATAAATTGTGGCCTATTTCGATCTACACAATCTTACATAGTTTTCCGCCTCCTATAATTTAAACTTTTATTATACAATATGTAATATATACAACTGTACTTTACATAAACATAAAAGCAATGGGTTGTAATAGCGTTAAGTATGGTGATTTTGTGCCAAAAAAGAGCATTCGCCGACACCATTATGTTTTCCGCGAACAATATAAAGGGCGTTTTTGCATTGCACCGTCACTCGGCATGAAAGGTGGTGTTATTTTGAGAATCCGAAACAGGAAAATAGACCCAGGCGTACCATCCACATTTATCGCAAGACCGAAACGCAGTAGTACGAAGACGATAGTCCGTTTCTTGGCTTGGTGAGATTTCAAGGTCAATAGTCTCTCTGTTAACGTCTTGTGAATATGTTAATACTAAGCGTTATTAATAACAATTAATCGATTTGCAAGAATCGCTAAATTAAATCGAAAAAATAACGAGAACATCAAAAAAAGCAATGCAAGACGACTTTTTTACATATCCCACCATAGATCCATATTTCAAATACGTTTCGCACTCTACTGAGAAATTTTAGTCCTAGCGGCTTACTCGCCAGGATATCACTTGTTCCTATTGGTTAGTCCCGCAGAGGTCAAGCAACGATTCGGTTGGTAACGAAGATGTGAAAAAAACGACTCGATGAATGGTTCGCGACAAAAGAGAAAGACTTATAGAGGTCCCAGGGAGTTGAGAAACATGTATAGCTAGCAGTGGGCGACACTTCAGATGAATTTCTTTGTTACTATTTTCAATGGTGATGTTATAGTATGGGCATGCACTGGAGCCAATGCAATAGAAAAATTGATGTTTTATGGATAACATTCTTAGCAAGGAGGATTATTTAAGGATACTCAAGGGAAATTTCAGGGAAAGTGGGAACAAGTGGGTATTTTGAAAACGTTCAAATTCTACCAACATAATGACGCCATAAGGACCACTTAATTCAAGAATGGATCCCATATAGCTGCCCCAAAATTCTTATCCTCTTCTCCAACCGCCAGGCATGAACCCCATCAAAACTATGTGGGATAAATTAGACCTGCGTGTGCGAAAATGCTCAATCTCTTCCGTCCAAGATCTGAGATATAGACGACAAGAAGAATGGAGTAAGATCCCTGTTTCCTGCACAAGAAATATCATACAAAATATGTCAAAACATTCAACTGATGTTATCAACCAAAAAGGACACCTCAACGAATATTAATTTTTAATAATATGACGCTATGTTTTCTGTTGAAGTTATTCAATTTTCCTGTCCAATGGAATAATGTTTTGTTTGTTTTCCTTTATATTTTAATAACTATTTCCTAGCATTAAAAAAAAAAAAAATAAACAGAAAATTATGTTTGCACGATGGATGCTTAACAAGCGCTTGCTTTTTGTCGAGCGAAAAACCCAAAGTTAATGAGACACACTGTGCTTGCCTATGTATCCTCGTTTTTATTATTATTATTAAGTAAGTGTCTTCAATAGGCAATAGAAGCGACATTGGTGGATATCATTTCAGTTCATTTGAAATTTTTTTTGCCCGAAAATTGATTTAAAGTAACAGGTAGCAAAGTCTATAGATGTAAGATTTTCACGGCCAAAACACAGTTTGGAACTGTTGAAAAACTTAAGAATTTCAGTGCACATCTTGAGAGAGTTCATTTCGCTTTCCAACCATAAACCGCATTCTCTCTCTATTATACGCTGAAATTTCTGCTTCTTAAATAGTTTCTCTAATCCTCGATTTTTTAATTTATTTCCATTTTATTTTGATGGTTTTGTTGATCGTCTTACCCACTCGGTTTTGCGGTATCCCTTCACCATTTATGTCTTTTTTGTTAATTTCTTCATTAATCGCCAGCTGGATAAGGCGCCTCTATTTTTTGACGCCGGCGAATAAAGTATTGAAAATCTTTATTGGCTTCTATTAGTTGTCCATCATGTTGGGAAATTTCGTTTCCAACAGAAATAGGCAGTTTTCAAGTAGATATATCTCGTGAAATATGTGATTGTCGTCCCATTGCCCTCCACTTCAACTTTATAGATGTGAGAATAAAACCATTTTTTCATAAACAGTTTGCTTGCATGCACTACCTTGAGCTTTGCCCAACCTTAGGATATCTTGGCGTGCAGTGAATTCTGTTAAATATTCTTGGTCTTTTCCAACTTATCTACAGGTTTGGTGATAATTCGTCGTTATGCTATATAGCATCGCCAAGTTTTTTTTTTTCAAAAAACCTCCAATATTCGCTCTCAGATCGCGTCTTATTTTCAACTTATCACTTGCGATGTAAATTCGCTTTCTAAATAGATCCATCCTCTGTATTTATTCCAGCGGATTTGGTGCTATCGCACCGTTGCAAAAATCACGGATTAAATATTCATCAAGATGTCCTTCCCTTTGTAGAAGATATAGAAAAATTATTTTGTTTTGCGCCAGCTTAGTCGTTTCGTTATTAATAAGCGAACTTTTCGAATGCCCGAACATTATATATTGTTATCGATTTTGTTATTTGCATTCACATCCTATTCAAATTATTCCTTTTGCTCGCAACAATTTAAATATAAATACTTACCCATATTGTGATTGCTATGTAATAAACAAAAATTTTTCGAGTTATTCTGTCTTCGAAACAAAACTACTGGACACAAAACAAGAATACAACAAAAACTTCCAAAAAAAAAAAAGGAGAAGAAAAGCGGTCGTAACTTTATTGTATTTTAAAACAAAGTTTGTAAACAATTGTAATAGTTTTAGGGCTTGTTTTTTCTTTTCACTGTTTTCCCATTTCTGTTTTATGTTTTTAAATAAAGCAAGTGAACCATTCAGACGCGATGGAGAGAATATCCTGAATGCTTATCGCTTTAGGCAACACAGTTTTTGCAATGTAGAGCCGCACAAAACGCCTTCGATGTTTACCAAATTTGAGACCGTTGTCTGCCAAGATTTTATGTTTGAATCAGTAACACTATCTGATCTGTGATAAGAGAATTATTTCATTCCATCCTCCAGTAACGACTATGACAAGAAAGCAAGAGAAATCGACAAAGAAGCCACGGTCCAAATTACATTCCTGAAACGATTAGTTTATGCTTTTCAATTCCAGCTTTCTCGGAAGTATAATGTTGTACTGATTTTAAACTCTCCAATGATCAGTTTTATGTACGTCGCAAACATTATAATAAAACTATTTTACTTCCCAGGTTCGCTTGATAGATGCGGAGTATAAAACTTTGGGCTTAACTTTTTAAAGTAGAATTTCCAAAATAATGGATGCACATAGACCAAATAAAATGTTTCACAATGTACGGTAAGTTATGTGCGTTGAATGAGTGTAAATCCAAAAGGCAGACTTTGGATAATTGAAAACGTTTCCCATTTAATTTTATTGTGATAAAGCACAAATTGTTTATTTGTTATGTAACTTATAATAGAACGAAATAATTTTGCTAAACTTACGACGAGAAAAAAAAACTACAAACATTATGAAAACAAAAAATATATTTATAAGGAGTGGAGGAAGAGAAACACAAACTGCCCAAGGAAGTGTAGTTTTAAGTTAAGGTACACAATCAACGAATGGTGTTAACTCGATCGATCAACTTCACTATCCGCACTGCTAAGGGGCAATTTTCGGAATATACCCAACCTTTGATAATTTTATTACGTATGTAACGTGGTGGCCAAGTGGTGAAATATTACTCCGAGTTTCGCGCCACTAAAGGCGTGGTCACAAATGCACAGTGGCGGTGCGTCATGCAGCTGCCGGCCGAGGAAAACGAGTAGCGAAAAAGCGCGTTAACGGATTAAAAATGAAGCCATGAACTTAGGTAATAGTAATACGCTTGTAAAAGTGTATATAAATAAACTATTTGCGGATGGCAGAGTCAGTCGGACGAGAACATTTGAGTCGAAAAAGGATATTAGAGTTGAGAAGTCGAGAGCACTACTAAAGTAAAATAGTTCTACCCTAAAACAAATTGATTGTGACTAAAAGAGTCGTGCAGGGAAAACGTGACATGTATTTCTCTTGAAAAGAATATCCACGATCTAGTGGTACGAGTCCTATCGTAGAAAAGCGAATTTCATAAAAATATTATTATTATTATTGTTATCAATTTAGCCCGAGAAACAAATATGAAGACTAAGGTTTTAGAAGACTGGCATTGGCTTAATTGAAAAGTCTACAGCGCGTGAGATTCGAACCCAGGACCTTCGTGCTCACTTCAAGCGAGCATTTCATGTGGCACAAGACAAATATCCATTAAATGTTATTGCATGTATTTATAACAACATTACTGCAATTTAACTTTTGGTTGTTTTTTAGCGGTGTCCAAGTTGTGTGAAATGAATTCAAAGAATTTTTGGAATCGCGTTAACCGAATATTGGGTATTTAACGAGGACCCAAAGTATAGATTAGAACGACGTCTCCGGCTATTCGATCCGTGAAAGATGATAATCAAAGCGTCTTGTGGACTCCAAATCGAAACAGGGACTAACCTTTAAGCGCAAATCGGAAACGACCAACTACTTTCTAATCACTTATGAGCTGAAGTTAAGAGGTCTGATTTTTCTGTTTTCGTTGAAAATCCATTTTGAACTTTTGACGATATGCCTTAGGCTATCAGTTAGTTAATTCAATTTTCCATTTCCCAAGTAGACTCTTCTAAACGGTCATTGCAAACGATGGCGGGAGCGTGGTAGTGACTCCTTCTTTTGCAGCATCTGTTTAAATTTTTAAATTTTATCGTTGCGAATAAACCCCCAATAAGCCCACATTAGTAAGAATTGGTTCATTGC